TTTAAAAGTGAATATTGACAGAAACTGTACCACTCTGAAGTTTTCAAACCCACCAGATTTTAACCTGTCATGTGCCCCCTGCACTTATTCAGTGGAGTGAGTTGCATTTCTATCTGTCTGTGGAGCTGCCTGGGGGGAACCAGGGAGATGTTCCCAAGTTGCAAAAAGCAAGTGGGCCTAATGTGATGCAACTGAACTTACCACTTAACCTATCTCCACCCTGTGGGGTGTTTTAAGTGGGAGCTTCCCGAGGACTCAGAAATGCTGAAGGCAGCCTGGGGGCCTATTTCATGAGTACATGCCTTCTCACTGTTCTTGAATGCACAGCCATGCTAACAAAAATATGCTGAGCTTGACATGCAAATGTACATTTAACCACAGGCATGCAGATGAACATGCCTGCATACAGGAAACTGTCAGATATAAACACCTACTCATAAGCAGATCAAACTTGCACAGCTATATAGCCACATTGGCTCAGAAAACATGTTCATAGACTCAGCTACATACACAACAAACCATGTGTTTCCATCAACAATCCCTCACAACACAAACATGTATTAAATATGCAGGCTCACATACACACTCTCTGTCCCACTCCCATGGATTCATGTCTGTACACTCTCCCATGGATTTGTAGCACATACACAGGCATCCAAACACATTCAAGAGCATTTACTACAACCAATGGGGTACACACACAAAAACCCACCCATGCACACTCACATATATCTTAATGAAGGTTTTGGTCTGGGAAATTCCTTTTCAAGAAACAAAAATAATTGTCAAAAGGAAAAAACCCACAGAGCAGAGGGAACTCCATAAATAGATGCAAGTGCATACCTACATGTACACTGGGGCCAGGCAGTTCAGGGTTTCACCCCAACTACAGCTGTCTCAGCTCTGCATCTCTGGGTATCATTCCCCCCTGAGTGCAAACATCTGGTGAACCTCACAGAGATTTCAGGCTTACATGTTCATGGCCACATATCAAACTGACCTGCTCCAGGTACCTTTATCTTCCCTAACTGACCACAATGACAACTGTTCCTTAGCTCCAACAGCAGCACCTTCCAAGACAGATGATCTTCAGGTTCTAAGGAACTGGGAAGAAACATTTACCTGCATTTGACCAGGCTAAATGTCTCCAATTAATGGAGTTTACTGGTGTTTCAGGGTTTATTTTTTCTTTCTTTTTCAGACCCCAGGTCTCATGGAACAAGACAAGACAGTGTACAGAAACACAAGGCAGGGTTTGCTCAAACCCACAAACAGCAAGAAAGCAACAAGCTTCTGAGGAGAAGGGGAGAATTGTATCTGATAAACTGCCTCACACTGCTTGGGAAGATGACAACTGTCTGTCCAAGATGGGCTGCTACTTCCAAAGCCCACCTGCTACAGATGTAACACCTCAAGTGCTGCTAGCAGGAAGGGAATCCAACAGGACAAACCAACATACAAAACATTCTCTTATTCAATAAGTGTTTTAAGTGCAAAGGGATTTCAGAACATTTCAGAACAAACTTCATCCATAGCTGCTGCTCATTTATCAGTGCATTGAAAGATTGTGCAAGTTTTTAGTAACAAACATTAGAAACTAGTAGCATATGACTTGCCTAGATAAAAAAACCAGAAGATTTAAACATGCCAGGTAACAAAAAAAGTGTGCAGAAATCTGTAAAAACTGTATAGAAGGAACGGATTCTTTAGAGGAAACAGAGGGACCATAATGAAATACTGTTTAAAACCCTAAATAAGGAGTCAGGGCCACTCCTGCTGCCTCCTCAACTAAGACAGGTGGTGGATGTTTGGACAGAGGCACCCTCACTTCTCATAGACTTCTGCAACCAAAAACTGGATTCCAGGCCTTGGCTGACATGAACTTGAATTCAGACAGCAAGTGGCAAAGAGAGGGAGCCTTGTTAGTGGCAATTAAACATATCAGTATGGATAGCCCTGGAGACTGAAGATCTGAACACAGCACGATTAGCAGCATCGTGACCTTCTTGACAACATGCTGAGAGTGAATGAGATTTATCCTGCTTAAATTTAGCATCTGAAGGCTGGATGTCTAGACAAACCTAACAAACCTAGACAGTCTCCAGTCACAGGTTGGGCACCTCTAAAGAGAAATTCATTTCCTGTCTCCCTGTTATTTATATGTACAGGGAGACATCAGTTGGCCTGGGGAGTTGTGCATTTCTCTCCACTAACTCTAAGAGGAAGCCTGGGTGACTGTTGTCCTTTTGGATGACTAAAGTTTAATGAGATGAATGTCAAAGTGTCTTAAACCATGATGTAAAAAGGTCTTAAATTCATGTGAAATTACAGTGAATTTCTTCAAATGGATCCATTAGATTTTCCCTCCAGTACAGGGTTTCTCACTATGGTAGACATTAATTTATTTATCAAAACACAAGGATTTCCCTCCTTTCTGCTAGGAAGACTTGTGTTTGGATTCAAATACAGTTAGGGAAGCCTTCTTAATGTTTACCATAACTCTTCTCCAGTTCCTGGAGTATTCCTCAAATACCATGTTCAGTTTCGCCTCTGTGGATAAGAATTTAACTTACCCACAGTCAGAAGGCTATTGCCATGTTTCCCATTTAGTTTCCTTATGACAAGTGTGGCATAAAAAAAAAAAGCTTTTGTTGCATTCTTTAAAATTAACAACTTCAGCCTGCTGATCATTGTAACTTTACAAAGTTAGCCCAGTTCTAATATGTCTGTAGTAAAAAGGTAATGAAAATTGTTTACAACATTCTGTGGGAAATGTTGCAAACAAGATTCTGTGTCCAAAAAGTAGGACATTTAAGAGATGTAAAATACAAGTTCATTTTCTGTCAGAAACTATTTTCCATTCTCTCAAAAGACAAATATAATAGACTAATATGAAATGAAATATTTAATTTATTTTAAATCAAAATATTACAACATGGATAAATGTCCCTGTTTCAGAATGTAGAAAAAATGAAGTTGAACAGAAATTAAATAGAGCCATGATATGAAAACATTTTGTTTGGAAAGTTCAGAGTAAGGCACTTTGATTTTTTTCAAAAAGTTGCCTACATTTTTCCCTAAACACAGCACTAAGTGAAAACTACACTGGCCTTTTCTGCTTGCAATGGGTTGCCTCTACAGTACACAACAATTCCAAGCTGGAATGTTTATTCAACAGCCACATTGTTTTGTAAATTAGTTATTGATTTGCTCTTCATTAACATATTTACACCAACTTCCTTTCAATCCTTCAATTTTTCCGGCCTCGCTGAACTGGATTTTGCAGGGCCAGTTTTGTCAGTACTCAGACACCCAGTAAGTTCTTTTTATTATTTCTTTTAGGAGCCTGTGTTCCTCCTGCCTGTCCTTTGTCTCTTTGTCCTGTAATTCTATATCCATCCACCTCCAAAAAGAGAGGAAAAAGCTTGCCTGATATGATTTATTCCTTGAACTCCAGCTGCTCATTTCAGTCTCCATGGCTCATTCAGTCCTTCACCTGTCTGCTGAGATGGGCACCAGTGGGGCCAATCAGTGTCAATTCTGCTAGTGGAATTTGTGAGTTGGAACAAACTGGGTTGAAAATCCAAAAAAATAGGTTGAAACTCTGGTCTTTTTCTTTTTGTTGGGCTTTCTGTTTTGTTTTTATTTCATCTACTTTTTTTTTTTTTTTTTTTTTTTCAGAGTAGCAACTGGATATTAGGAGCAGGGTGCTCTAAACAGAGGTGATTTGGTCCTTACTGCTTTTGGAGGGAGCCTAGGTGAGGAGGCACAGGGAGGATTCATGGTTTGGTTCCTGCAGTTCCACCTCGAAAGAACTGACCTTTAGATCTCTGTGGGATGGAGTATTGAACTGCCATGGGAAGCAAAGCATAACACTGGGGAGACCAAAGTGCTGGCCTGGGACTATTCTAGCAGCTTCCCATGGCACAAATAGCTTTTTCACTTACACTCCACGTTTCCCATCACTTTTCCTGCTATACAGTTTAATTCATGCCAGGCAGATTATGAAGGGAAGAAAATGACGCAACAGCCAAAAAAGTCCTTTAAGTCGTTCCAAAAATTAAAACAGAATGAAAAAAGAAAACAAAACAAACAAACAAAAAAAAAAAAAGAAAGAGCATAAAAATCAAACAAAAAAGCTCTGAAAACAAACTCAAGAGAAAGGAGGAAGGGTGAGGCGGGGGGGGGATGTGGGGAAAAAGAACCCGGGAAAGACAAATGAATGTTAGAGCAGGCACGATCATGGACAGACGCCAGCTACTTACGTTCACCTCGGTGATTGCTATATCAACAATGCTACCCACAACAATCAAGGCGTCAAATGTATTCCATGCATCACAGAAATAGTGCTGCATGTGGCAGAGAAGCCAAGGAGAGATAGAGAGAGAGAGAGAGAAAGGTAGGAAGGAAGGAAGAGAAAGAATGAGAGGGAGAGAGAGAAGTGAAAGAGAGAGGGAAAGGGAGAAAAGAGGGAAAAAAAAGTAAAAAGTAAAATAAAATAAAAAAAACAAAACAAAATGAAATGAAACAAAAGCATGAAAGAGGGAGAGAAGAGGAAAAAAAATAAGAAAAGAAAGAGGTTACGTGGGCATATTAAATAGTCTCTTACCACTCTACAGTATTGGTTGCTCAAACCTCTGTAACGTTTCACAAGATGGAGGGTATCAACAAAAGCCTGGTTAGTCAAAGTTACACTAAAGCATGTCTACCTTTTGGAGGGAAAAAAAGCACACACACCCCAAACTCTGTGCACTTTCACCAGTCACAGCCTTGGGGCAAGCTATGACAAGTGAAAAAGAAGGAGGTATTTTCCCCCCCTCCTTTTTTTTATTTTTCCCTGGGAGAAGGAGAAGGACGACGGCAAGTTCAATAAAAGCATGACTAGAGGGAAAAAAAAAACCAACAGAAAAAAAAAGAGAGAGAAAGAAAGTGAGAAAGAGAGAGGAACAGCAGAGGAGGAGGAGGTGGTGGTATCCTGGGGAGGGTAGAGTAATACTCACATTAGTTTCACTGAGAATGACGTCTATAATGCTGCCAATTACGATGAGGAAGTCAAAAACATTCCAAGGATCACTAAAGTAACCCTACATAAGGAAGGGGCAGGCAGGATGGGGATTAAAAAGGAATGTTAGACAGACAAAAACAGTTCAAAATTATCATTAGAATTACTGCCCTGATACTTCAAGGGTGTTTCCTCTTAAGACTACTTGTTGCATCTCAAGCTGTAGCTCAGTCCTGTCATCCCTGACTTGTGTGAGCATCCACTATCCAGCTAAGGAAATCCCAGGGCAGCCACCTTTCCCCTCCAGCGCGAGGATGAGGATGAGGGGCGAAGGGAAACCACACAGAGCGCTTCCAGCACGGCTGCTCACAGGAGTCAGGCTTGTAGGACCAGCTCCTCCAGACGTCTCCAGTTACTACACAGCACACTTCCCTGTTTGGCTTAGATTTGGCTGGGGGAAGAGTACAGGAGTGGTGTCATATGGTTCTCCCAAAAAGCAGTTCCCCTTCTGCCAGTGTGAATCCGATCTGCACTGCAGATAAACCGCTCGGTGCTGGCACTGGGAAGGGCCGCCTGCCACGTCATGGTGTGGCAGAGGGCACAGTTGAGCTGGGGGGTGTTCCACTGAAACCCCACTGGTTGTCACCATTACCTTTACTCAGCCACAATGAGTATTACAACAGCGATTAGACTAACAGTTTCGATTACTTTAGCTTTAGCTGCTCTCTTAACATGGCAGAGCAGTTCTGTCACTCAGAAAGCATGTCTGCACCACAAAGTGAAGGTATGAATGTAGCATGTGCTGGTGCCTACCACCAGGAAGGGGTAAAGCTGGCTTTAGCATGTGCTCAGAGTGAGACCTGTTGCTCACTCATGCTGAAGATACTGCCACAGCATCACTGCAACATCAGCTGTCTAGGACAAGCCATGGCAGATCCACTTGCACGTGCTAAACTCATATCTCACCTTGCAGTGTGGAGTTACTTTGGAGCTATCTCAAACATCTCATTGCCTTAAGCAGGGCTCAAGAGATGCTAATCAGCACTGCTTGCTGTCCCCATCCTTCATGAGTTTGGGCCATAAGGATACAGGACCCTTTTGCAAAAAGTCCTGTTTAGCCCAGGAGGTGAGTTTCTGTACCTAAACTTCCCATACAAGTTAGCGTCCTGAGTAAAGAAAACTTATCTCGGCTCACTGAACACCTGTGCCTACCTTCTCCCCTTGTTCTGCAGTCCTAAAATGAGGCAAACATATCAAATCTTCCATACTCCTTCTCTGTGTTTGGTTTTGTGAGCATGGGCTAATCTGACCTCCCTGTTTCCCAGCTGCAGCATGTTTCCAGAGAGACTGAACCCAAGTTGCACTGCAACTGCTATTCTTAGCCAGAGAGTCAGGTCATGGGTAAAATGTGAGTCTATGTTCCCAGGCAGCATTGCAGAAAGCAAAAAAGAGAAGAAGAAAAAAATAAAATTAAAAAATATCCTAGCACTGGCATTGCATGAGCCAGGCTTGGGAACCTGAAATTACTGTGGGTTCAACCATCACATGGAGTAGGCACTGGCAAAAACTGTCTGTTTAAATGCTGAAATGCTGCCTCCAGCATGTCTTGAGCCCCACATGTTTGGGGTAGGAAAAATAAATTTAAAAAAAAAAAAAAAAGAAGCAGAGAAAGCCACTGCCCAGCTGGTATAGTGGACATTGAAATCTTCTCCTCAAGACCAGGAAAAAACCTAAACACTTTATTCTGCAGCCTGAAATAGGCATCTCTTAGCAGATCTATACTGGGAAGAGTAATCATCCCATGGCTACACATTACTACACAATTAGCTACAACAGGGAGGAAGGAAACAGGAGCAAAAGCAAATTTAGAGAGTATTATTATTCAGCGTCCAGCCTAGAAAATACACAACAAATATTAGAATGAATTGTGATGTCCAGCATCGTTAGCAACCAGGTGGACCTGGAATAAAACTGTAATTAGACTTCACCAAGAGGAAGGAGAGGGAGAGAACAGCAGATTAAATTGTAAAGGCAATTTTTTAAACAAATAAAGGACAGACACAGATCATACAGAGTTGCAAAAAGCGCCTTTGCAGCCTGATGCGACCTTGGCAGAGAGAACAGTGGCAGGATCAAATAGAACAGAGTAGAAGACAACAGACCCAATCCTCCTGTCCCTGTTCATGTGTGCAGTCTTGCTGAAGGCAATGGCAGTGCTCACATGCTAAGTGAATACATATATTCAGTAGCTTGGCTATCTTCCATTTCATTCTCGAATTGCACAGTGTAGGAACT